AAAAGAAAAAAAAAAAAGAGAGCTACACATAGAAATATTTACAGATGAAACTATCTGATGGGCAGAGGTACAGATGAAACAGGAAGGTTCACTAGTTGATAACTGCAGTCGGGTGAGAGGTACACAGCGGTTCGTCATAGCAGATTCTGTCTTCTTTTGTGTTGGAAATTCTCCATAACAGAAAGTGAAAGAGAGAGAGTGTGTGCTGTATATTCTGATATGGGAAGATTTCCAAGATATATTGTCAATATTTGGAAAAAGCAAATTGCAGAACAATGGGTTTAGTAGAATCCTATTTTTATTAAAAGATGCAAAGAAAAATATTTATCAGGCACCTGTTATGTGGCAGGGGCTCTGAGCTGGGAACAGTGAGTATAATGTCAACAAAGCAGATGGCTCCCTGCCCTAATGGTGCTTTGGGTCTAGCTGGGAGACCATGAACAAAATCAGTGATTGGAGGGGACAGGGAGGGAGGATAAATAGGTGGCAGACAGGGATTTTTTGGGTGGTGAAACCATTGTTTATGATGCCACAATGGTAGATACCTGGCATTACGCATATGGCAAAACCCACAGAAGTGTCCAACACAGAGTGAGTCCTGATGTAAACAACAGGCTCTAGTGAACGCTACTGTATCCGTGTTAGCTCATCATTGTAACACATATACTCCACAATAGGGGAAACTGTGCAGGGGTGGTGGGGAAATGGGAACTTTCTGTACTATCTGCTCAACTTTCTGTAAACTTAAAACTGCTCTAGAAATAAAGTCTATTAATTATAAAAGTAAGAATCACACACCTCTTCAAGTGTTCATTTCAACCGTTAAAAGAGCCCATGTGTTGTGCAAAGAAGGCATTAAGGGAGTCCAGGATTTTCAGGAAGAACAGTTTTAAACTAAGACCTGAAGGAGGATCAAGAGTTGCTGGGCCAGAAGGGGAGAACCTTCTAGAAAGAGGCAAGAGCATGAGGAAAGCCCTGGGGTTGAAAGGAGTTCCACCCGGGAGGTCTGCAATGAGGCTGGGGGGTGGAGGAGGCCAGACCAGGAGACAGAGGTGGGATTTTACTCCGCAAGCCTTTGACAGGTTAAGCGTGTCCTGCTCTGGGCCGTATTTTATATTGCTGTGGCCGCTTCATGGAGACTGGTTTGTCTGGGAGACAAAAGCCTGGGCAGGGAGAGACCAGTGAGACCCTGTGAATAGAGGCCTGGACCAGGGCAGGGCACCTGGTCCCACCCGTCGTGCCTGGGGTGTGGGGCATCTTTTTGTTTTTTGAGACAGAGTCTCACTCTGTCACCCAGGCTGGAGTGCCATGGCACAATCTTGGCTCAGTGCAACTTCCGTTTCCCCCTGACTGGCGCTCGTCCATTCAGAGATTGTCTTGAGGATGTGTAACTGGCATTTTCTTCTCTCTTCATGCTCCCCTTCCGCTGCGCTGGGTGAGGTTTTTTGTTTTCTCACCTCACACTCCCCAAATCCTCCTGGACACCACAGGCTGTGAATCTCCCTCCTCGCGTCCGGCCTCCCTCATATATCAGTCCCGCCAGGCGCTTCATCTGAGCCCTCCTCCCTCGGCTCTGCCCCGCCTCTGTCCCCATCTGACTGGGAATGAAGGGTCCTCTGGGGGGCGCCTTCCAGAGCAAGGATCTGGGTGGGGAAACAGTGGCCCCTGCATCCACCAGCCCTGGGGCTCCCAGGTAACCCCCATCTGCCAGTTTTGGTCACCAGGGCTGCCTTCTTCCTTAGGGGCGTCTCTCTGTCCTCGAATTATCCTGCAGAATAGTTAGGGAAATTATGGTACATCCAGGCGATGGAATCCTTTTGTTTTCTGAGACAGGGTCTCACTCTGTCACCCAGGTTGGAGTGCCGTGGCACAACCTGGGCTCACTGCAACTTCTGCCTCTCGGGCTCAAGCGATCCTCCCTCCTCAGCCTCCCGAGTAGCTGGGACCACAGTCTCGTGCCACTGTGCCCGGCTAATTTTATTTTTACTTTTTGTGGAGATGGGGCTCCTTGTGTTGCCCAGGCTGGTCTCAAACTCCTGGGTTCAAGCAATCTGCCCACCTCAGCCTCCCAAAGTGCTGGGATTACAGGTGTGAGCCACCGTGCCTGGCCTAAAGTCCATGTCTTAGAAATGTGATTTAGAAGCATGAGGTCAGGCGAGGGTGGAGAAGGTGGTGGGTTTCTGAGCTCACGCCTTTCCTCCCAGGAGAAGGAGAGAATCCTGCAGCCCCTGGACGGGCCGTGGGAAGAGGGGGTACTCAGGAACCCACCGCTTTAGGTTACATGTGTCCACTGTGCTGCGATGCTCAGTTCCTAGGACGAAGGACGTCTCTGGAATTCTCTGGAACAGAATTCCAAGGCAGAGCAAGAGCCCTGGCCCGCAGTGCTAGCCACCGCTGAAGTCTGTGTTATTTTAACTCCATCTTCCCCTGGGAGCCTGGACACTAACCCTGCCGAGGTTTTACTGCAACACCGAGCTGAAATAAATAGAGCATTAAAAAGCCTCTTCACTCTTTGCCTGGCATTCCCGTCTCTCCATTGCCACACGCGTGCTGCAGGACAGCTGTGTGTTTAGCTCTGGGAAAGGCACAGAGAGGGACAGCAGGCACCCAGTGGCACGGGCAGCCCTTCTTTCTGAAGACGCCAGATCCCAGAGATGGTCCTTGGCACAGAAAGTCCCCATGCTTAAACCTTTTTGGTCAAGCATATGATGCCCTCCAAATCCCCTGACACCTGCTCCTTGATCCCACCTCACTCCACTGAGGGTCATAGTACGTCTCAGCAGATTAAAGGCTCTGACAAGACCTGCAGGGAAGAAATCTGTCTGACTTTGTCTAACAAGAGTTTGTCTGCAAAATCTGACCTGGGGAGGTTTTAATTCCCCTCTTCTGAATTCCTGTCTAACACCCCCCTGAGCTGGCCGGAGAGGAGCACTGCAGCTCTATGGAACCGGGGATGTGCTCGGCACTGCTGGCCTGAAGAAGGGATATTTTTAGATATCAGCTACAGAAAGAGAAGATTGCCATCAACTTTGGGTGATCACATTGACCTTGGCTTAGTAAAGATGCATGGAAGACCGGCTGATTCCAAGAAGCATATTGTAACGGTGATAATAGG